GCCATGCTTCAAATAGTAGGAAAAGTGTCTGTATGTACCACACATACTTACAGCTAGACTACTCTAGTGCTTCTTGAGGGACATAAAGGTTAGTCCCAAGTCTGGCTGTGAGACTTACAGATCTGGGTGCTCTCCTACTCCAGGAACTGCTATGTAGCTGGAGCAAGTCTTACCTGCCTTTTCTTGATAGCTTCACTGATGGGGGAATTGGGGTGCCATGTGTAGATATGTAAGTCTGCACCTAGCTGGTGATGAGGAACCCTTATCACCCACACAGTTTCATTTTTTTGGTTCATCAACACTGCAGTGATCAGATTAATAGAAAGCCCTTGGGCATGGGCCTTCAGCATCGTGGTGGTGCTAGTTCTGCATATGGAGTGGGAGCAGAGGCTTAGCGGTGTCCAGCACCCTGTGACAGGCCCGGCAGCCATTCAGAGCTGCCAGGAACCCTTGAGACCTGTCTTGAGGGAGCTTGCTTCAGAAGATGTGTTGGGAAGTCACTCAGGGGTGAGTGGGTGTTCTCCTTAACCCAGGACTTGGGTTTAACTGAGTTTCAACATATTAAGCCAGTGATTTCTGGCCTGTTGAAAGGATGTGCCAGGCCTGTTTGAAGTGTTGCTGATACTTGCACCTTGGAATTGTATGTGGTTGGCTAGTGCTCACTGTGTGTTTAGTGTATGGCCTGGGTTCCACCCCACACCAAGAGGAAGATAGTGGAGAAACAACAGAGCCCGGAGCCGAAGGACGGGGGCACAGGGTTAGACTAAGTGTGACTAGCTTGTAGTCCCTGTGTCCATAGAAGATTGTAGACACCAGGCGAGGTGGTGCACGCCTTAGTTCAAGGCTAGTTTGGCCTAGAGTGAGTTCTAGGACAGCCACAGTTTCTCTGTGTTTCTACACACAGAGAAACCCTTTCTCAAAAAGAAAAAAAAAAAAATTTTTTTTTTTCTTTTACTCCCCAGCAGTAACCTTCTTCTGCCAAGACTTATGGTTGTGAGTTCACTTGGCCCGTCAGAGTGACATCCTTCAATGGAGTTGTGTTACACTCTGGAGGTTTCCCAGCCTGTGTGGCCAAGCGTGTTCCCTGGAGTCCAGAAAAGGGAGCCTGGAGAGGTCGCCCACTGGTATCTGAGTGGGCGCCCTGGGCAGGTGGCCCCAGCGTGTGGGAACTTGCTGACCTCAGAAGCTTGTCTGGGTGGAAGTTCCAGTGGTTGGCGTTTGTTTTCACTAGCACCTGAGGAGTCTGGTCAGGAGACTGGCCAATAGACGGCCCACTGGTTTACTGCAAGGCAGGCTCGCTGGAGCTCTCCTGGACTCTACCCAGGAGACTTGAGTGGGGAATTAGAAAACACCTAGACCTTAAGGAGCTGGGAGACGCTGCTGACTTCGGGGACTCCTATGTTCATCAGCAGGTCACCACTAATCTTGGCTCCCTGCATGTGCTGACTGACTAGATTCAGGTGGAGCCAGGATCACCTCCAGACAGGGTCCCAGGGCTGCGCCAGCCCACACTCAGGCCTTAGTCCAGTTGCTGGGCCAGGGCTAGAGGTGCCCTGTGGGACCAGCCCAGCCATGCTTCCTGGAACCAGTAAAGCCACCAGCCACTTCCTTCCTCTACCCTGCCTAGGGGGCCTAGGGAGATTTGGTGCTGCTCGGGGCATCTGGGCAAGACCAGCCTCATTTGCCTTGTGAGTTGTTACCGCCTGTCCACTGGCGTGAGGCAGCAGTTCCTGGGCAGCTGTCTGCCCCAAGTATGGTCCTTTGGGGGAGAGAACCGGGTGCCTCCTTACAGACCCCAACCAAAGCAAAAGGCCACATTCACAGTCAAGTGCCCTGGTACCAGAGGCCTGCTCAGCCGCACGTGTGGTGGTGTCAGGGTGAGGGCTTCCCTGGCTGGAGCTCTGTGTTCTGCTGGCCCAGCCAGATAGTAGAGGGTCTACGGTATACTATACCCTCTGTAGGTGTGAGCTGAGGAGCCCTGTGGTTAGCCAAGTGGCTCTGGGTGTCACCGTGGTGCTGGCTAGGGATGAAGACTAATCATGTGAAGAGCAGTCATCATTAGGCCTGTGGTCTGAGGGCCTGACCTGCACAGCTGTTTGCACCAGTATGGAGCACTAGGCTTTTATCTCACCGGCCCAGCTGTTGAGCAAGCTAGCACAGCCACACTTATCTGTGGGTGCTGTGTGGGAAACCCCCAAAAGAACCAGCTTCCACCTCCTACACCATGGCCATCCTTAGCCCCCTGCCAAGGGGCTGCATGCTAACAGCAGTGGATCACAGCAGCTGCTCCTGCTCTTGTGGTTGGTGGGGAAGAGTGGAGAGGCGGCAGACTGTCTGGGCGCTGAGGTTCCTTCTGGTCAGTCTTCCGACTGCCTCTCATGACAATGTCTCATGAAGGCCAGAAGCCCCTGGATTCAGATGAATTCATTCATTTATTTCAGATTATTTGGTTTTGAAAACAGGGCTGTGAGAAATAATAATACCCTTGTTTGCCTGTTACTGAGTCAGTGAGCATTACCATTTCATCACCTGCTTTGGTTCTTTTTTATAACAGACATGAGAGTATAGAGTCCCTTTTGTTCAGTCTTATTCTAAGGTCAGAGGAGAAGTCACCAGCTAGGAAGAGAGAGTTAAACCCTGATTACTGAGGCCCAGCACGTGCTAGCCATCCTCTGTCCACTTGGCCTGGAGTCTGGACTCAGGCCTGGTTTTGGCTGGGGAGAAGCTGGCTTGGCCCTCAGACAGGGCAGAGTTTTGGAGTAGCAGAGGAGGGGCCTGTTGTGACAGCCAGGCTGGAGCTCCAGTACACTACTTCCTTCCTCAGAGGGTCAGAGGGATACCTCATACAGGGCAGCTCAGTAGAGGCTCGTTCTCTGGAGCCCAGAGCCAAGTTATACTTTCCCTTCAAAGTCCAGAAAGGGTGATGACTACAGCTGCCAAGGCTGAGGCTGCGGTTGCTTTTGGGCTTAGCCACGCCCCTTCTGCCCGCCCACCCCAGCCAAACGGGATCTGGCTAGTGATGCAATCTGCCAGCCTCTTGCACCCAGAAGCCTGGTATCTGGGGAGGCAGGTTCAAGAGAGGCTTGGTTTCTTGGGTTTCTTTGTCATCACAAAGAAAACGGGTGACCTGTAGGTAAAGGGACAAAGGCTCCAGATGGGGAAACATTTCAAAGGGGGCTCATGTGTTTATCCTGCATTCTCTTCTCACTCCTTTACCCTGGGAGACATGGGAGTTTTCAAGCAAATCATTGTAGCAGCAGCAGCAACAACATGGCCATGGGAGCTTTCTCAGAGCATCGTCACAGCCAGCAGCCTAGTTACATCAGCCAGAGCTATAAAGAGGGGGATGACTCAATGCTAATGAGAACTCTGGCTTCCTGGAGGTAAAGCAGTGGCTGTTGCCTCCATCCCCAGCACCAGGGAGTCTTCCTGTTTCCCTTCCACCTGAGGTTGTACACGTCCAGATAATTAATGTGGATTCCTGTCTTTGCAGTCTGTTCCCTAAACTGCAAAATTACGTATAATTAGTCTGGCTGGGGTAAATGCTGCCTGTCGTCTCTGAGGCCTGAGTTGGCACAGCTTTTCTGGGACTTGCTCAATTAGGGAAGCAATGAGGTTCTTCCTATATCCTGGGGAAATCAGGACCTTGCTGGGGGCCTCAGACTGCTTGCTGTACTCATTAATGATTGACCAAGGCAAGCCAGGGACCGCCCCTCCCCCAGAGTGGGGTATGGAGACTCCCTAGCTCTCTTGGGGCCAGAGCTGAGGAAGCTGTGGTCTCTAGTCTGGGGACCAATACAGCAGCTACCACGGTGGTGGAGTAGGTGTGGTTGTTGGTTTTGCAGTGTTTATATCTATGTTTACATACAGTATAATATTGAAGCTCCAGTTTCTCACTGCAAGGACACTTACATGTTCTTGCCAAGGTCTTGGAGTTCATTAGCGGACCACGCAGCCCTGCTAGCAGCCCCTCTGGGTCCCTGAGGGCTTCACACTGTGTGGTCCAGTTGCTCAATTGTCTACAAAATAGTACTTATGGCTTTCATGTCAGTGTATGACACAGTGCAATGGCACGTTTCTGTTTTGTCATGCCCTGAGCCCACCTGCATGCAGCAGCGTGTAAAAACGCTGTTCCCATGGGTTCTCCCCTTCAGCCTGTGCCCACATTGCCCCATTGTTCTCCTCTTGGATTATCAGACCCACACAGACAAGACACCTCACCCACCTGCTTACCCCAGCCTCATGAAAGGTTGTCTTTGAGGAGAGGGTCATGTCACAGCTTACAGTGCTGTGCTTGACCCTAGCATGTGCTGGCAGAGAAGAACGTGGTACCGGTATTAGGTGGTCATCTCCAATGGTAGGTTTGGGTTTTACTTGAGTCTGCAGCCAGGCTCTTCCACAAGGACCAGGTATACATAAACAACAGATGAAGGTGGTTCTGATGTGGGGGTGGGGGGAGGGTCCCCTCCGGAGGCAGAGACTGCTCAGTCCCACAGAAGTCTTAGCCAGGTGTGGTATCACATGTCTAATCCTACCACACAGGAGGCTGGAGCAGATGGTCCAGAGTTCAATGCCAATGGGGCTACACAGTAAGACTGTGTTTCGAAAAGGTAATAATTCTAAAATAAGTAAAAAGAGCTAGGCATGGTGCAATAGGCTTGTTATCCCAGCACTCAGGCGGCTTGGGCAGGAGGATCTTGAGTTTGAGCCCAGCCTGAGACCCCCATCTATAAAAACTAAGAAGGAAAAAAAAAAAATCACTGCATGCTATCCAGGGCACTTGGGATCAGGCTCTTTGAAGAGTTGGAGTTTCTAACCTTTGACCCTGGCCACAGAGAACCGGCTAGCTTATCAAAACAAGTCCCAGAAAGTCAGCCCATGGACAGGCAGGGCTTTGCCTCTGTGGGATCCAGCCAGGAGCACCTGACTTCATCTGTGTCCTGTGTGACTTCAACCCTGCCCTGTGGAGACTCATGCTTTGCTCTCTCTGTCCTCCACAGTGCTGCTTACAGCTGTGAACTGCTACAGCGTGAAGGCTGCTACCCGCGTGCAGGATGCCTTTGCTGCTGCCAAGTTATTGGCCCTGACCCTCATCATTCTGCTCGGCTTCATCCAGATGGGCAAGGAGATGGGCAAAGGTGGGTGACTCAAAGTGTGACACCTCCAAAGTGTCCCCTTCAGTGGTGAGGAGGCTGCCTGCTGCCCCCTGGCTCCCTTTCCTGGGACACCGAGTTGGCCCCAGGGAATGCTGAATGACAGAAGAAACTCTGACCTTGAGAGAAGGTATCAAACCCTGTCCCTAGCTAGCGGGCAGGAGTCCGTGAAGCTTCTGCCGGGGAGGGAGTCCCAAATGTCTGTCGTCTGGGCAGGAAGTTGGAGGGTCGGAGCTTCCATCTAGCAGGGCCTCACCCACCACAGTGCATTTCCCTCTGCTTTGTGACTAGCATGTCCCTTGTGTGAGGTGCCCACTGTCGTCTGCTTTGTTTCACTGTTCTAGGATGGGGGTGAGGTTCTCACACCTGGCTATTTGCTGTCTAGGATTTTGTGGGTGTTTCTTAGCTAGCAGTATTCTCTCTTGCTGATTCTTAGGCCTTTGCGTCCAGGGACTGTCAGGCAATGGGAATTTGGCTTCAGCAACGTGTGTGAGCGTGCTCAGGAACGGGGTCACTTCAGAAGGAGAGTAGCAAGCCCTCACAGCGTCTGTCTTCACATGAGAGCCCAGTTGCTGGATAGCCAGTAAGGAGCCCAGGGATCATGTCTGAGAGACAGGAGCACTGATGTAATTCAAGCATGATGTCAGCGGATATAAAAGCGAATTTCTTGTCACCCTGCCACTCAGGCCCCTGCTGACATGAGGAGGCTTAGGTTAAGACTGCCCAGAGTTTAGCCATGCACTGTATGAACTTGGATCGTTATCTGGACCTCTTGAGTTTCTTTCCTGGTTGCCTTCTGAGGCTGTTGGGAGAAGGGAAAGGGAAAGTGAGGCATATACTCACAAGAAATGTGCTCTCTGTAATCTGCAAGCCTGTGTATCACCTGTGTGGAAGTCTGGAGTACACACAGGCACACTCAGGTTTGTCTGTCTTCCTGTTTCTTTGTCCACCTATCTTTCATAACCATAATATTCCATAGTATAAAAGTATATGAGATTTATTGAACAGTCCTTGTTTGAGAGTTAGGAACAAAATGTCTGGGTTTTAAATTCCAGCCTTTTGGGGGTACACTGAAGTGGAGGCCCTTCAGCTCAAGCCCAGCTGGGGCCCCTGTTTGCAATTCCTTCTTTGCATTTATCTCAGTCCCTGTAGTGGTCTAAATGAAGAATGGATAGGAGCTGACTGAGCCCCTGCCTGAGAGCTGTGGTATAGTAGTGGCCATTGCTGCCCCGGGGAGGTTGGGCACTGCTGTTTGTTTGTTTCGAGACAGGGTTTCTCTGTCTAGCCCTGGCTGTCTTGGACTCATTTTGTAGACCAGGCTGGCCTTGAACTCACAGCGATCTACCTGCTTCTGCCTCTGAGTGCTGGAATTAAAGGTGTGCACCATTGCACCCAGCTGGAGCACTGCTTGGGCTGAGCAGAACACAGCAGGGGCCAGTGCTCAGCCTCAGTCAGTCACCAGGAGCTGCAGAAGAAGCCGCTGGTCCTGCTGTGCCCCAGGGCAGAGGCAGCAGGGACCTGTTCATTTTATAGATAAGAGCAGGCTCAGCAGAGAGCTGGCCTGGGTCTGCTTTGCTTCCCTTGCTCACCTTTCTGTGTGAATAGAGGTCCAAATGCCTGGGGACAGGGACTTAGCTTCCGCAGGGCAGTAGCTACTGTCTGCCTTACACTCCAGTGTCCCAACCATGCTGAACATGGATCCACAGTACTTGGGGAAGCCTGAGGTGTGGGACCTGCTCTCCGGCATGGGCAGACACTGCCTACAAGAGCTCCGCATTCTCCCTGTGGCAGAGGGCCTTATGGCTGTACGGTGTTTCTGTGTGACTGAAACCGTTTGCTACTGTGCTTGAGGTGATGGAAATCCTGGAACATGGCCCAGGTGGTGCTTTCAGAGGTGGGCCCAGTCCTTTAAGAATGTCTGGCAGGGATTATCCACAGGTATGTGAACTGCCCACCTCGAGTCCAGCAGCAAAGTGGCCTGAGGCCTTCACCTTCTAGGAGCCTTCCTAGAGCTACAGAGGGTTCCAGATGCCTTTGGGAGGCTGATCACATTTCTGGGATCCTGGTAGACAAGACCTCAGTCACAGAGGAGCTGGCCAGCTGCCAGGGAAGGAGTTGGGTTGAGCATCACCTGGACACTCCAGGTAGTGTTAGGAGGGACTGTATTCTGTGCTCGCTGTATTCAGTCTCACTGCAGAGCATGTGGCTGGAGGTAGGCCTTCTGAGAAGGACCTTGTTTGTCTGCTGTGATGAGATATAGTGAGGAATTTAGTACCGGAACTTGCTGCTAGCAAAAACAAACCTGAGTAGGGGACAGCAGAGCTTTTGTCAGGCCTGAATGCACGTGTTTATAATTCTGGTGGCTGTGGCAAGCATGCCCTATGCCCCCAGCAGTTCTTTTCTGAGCTCCAGGATGCAATGTAGTGGCTGCAAAATTCCTGAGCGGGTTTGGGGTGGAGTGGGGGGAGGGAGTTCTGTTCCCCAGATGGACACCTTGGCTCCTGAAGGACACCATGTTGGAATGCTGGCCCTTCTCTCCACAGCTCTTGCCCACCCTCACTTTCTATTGGAGGACTGGTGATCACCAGGTCCCAGAAGACAGAGACCCTGGCTCTGGTCATGTGCATGAACTTGCTTTGACAAAACATCTGTGGTTCTGAAAATATGATAGCCATTTCCACCTGGCACTGGGCAGCTTCCTCATTGCTCACCCTAGCCCCCAGGTGACCCTGCTGCCCAGGAAAGGTGGAGGACCTGTGGGTATCACTCCTTCTACCCTGCCAGCCTCCCACAGAAACTCTGCAGCGCCCTTGCGTGGCATCCAGTGAGGACTGGGCCTGTAGCTCAGAGCTCATGGCACTGTGAGGGGATATTAGCTAGCCACAGCTGTGGACAAGAGTGTTGCAGACAGAGCTAGGTAAGGCTCTGACCCAGGCTGTGAAAGCCCTTGAAGTATCCTTTTCCCCAGGTCCCAGGGGAGTGCAAGTAATGAAGGCACCTTGGCTACTCCTTACCTAGCAGGCTGGGAAGAACTCCACCTGACTCTGGTATCACAAGGTCTCTGCACTTCGTCCAGTGTTTTTGGAAGCACAGGCAATGCCCAGACTGGCATTAGATCTAACTGGATGTAGCTGGACTTGTGGGTGGGAGTGAGTGAGTTGGCCAGTGGGACCCCAGAGACAAACGGGACAGATACGGTGGACAGGGACTCCACTGTCCTTGACCTGCTTGCTGTGTCCCTTTCTAGTCAATTGGCCAGTTGCCCACAGCACCCTGAAGGGGCTGTGGCTTGAGATCAGACTGTTCCAAAACATGAGTCGGGGCCAGGCCTTCTCAAGGCCAGGCGTGGGAATGGGCTATGGAAGGTTCTTCTTTTGTGCACATCAGCAGGCCCAGGTCATCAGAGGACACTAAGTAGCTCTATTGTGGTTCTGCTTGAGGATGAACCACACAGCAACAAGATAAACTGGTCTCCGAGGCCATTGCACGTTGTAAGGGACAGCTTATGGGTGATGGTGTCCCATAAAGCTTTCTCCTTTCTCCCATGTTGACTGCCCAGGAGGGGGCTTTAATGGCTGCCACTGTCTGTACAATGTGAGGCAGTTTTCATTAGCCTGAGCTGTGAGTGAGTGGTCACTTGTTCTGCCAGGGATCATGGAAGGGGAAAGTGCCACCCCATATGTTGCCATATGCTGTCAACAGCTACCAGTGGACTAAATTGTATGTTGGCTGTATCCTATGTCAGTAGTGACAGTGACCCATGCCTGGCTCAGGAATCTAGCCCTTTCCCATGTTTCATTGGTTTCAAAATGATTGTCATTTGGCTCTTGTCACTTAGTGAGGTGGCATGTCCCGAATCCTGCAGCTCATGGGCAGGGGCAGGCCCTACTGTTACCGTGGGCACAGAATGCAGGGTTGCAGTGCTGTGCTAGAGTGCTGAGGCCCCACCCCTTGCTGCATCGTGCTGTGGGGAAGGCTGGTAGCCAACTTCTGGAATGGCTGGCAGGGTATCCTGGATCAGCAGCACTCTTGAGAGCTCAGCTGGGACCTAGGAGCTGCGAGGACAATGGTAGCAGCAGCAGGTGGGGCTGGCTGCCTGAGAGCTGCCCAGTTCATGGGTAGTTCCTTCTGTGTTCTCATTGGGAGGGAGCCATTCCCTGGGCTCTCCTCACACAAGAGCAGTATGTGTTGCAGCAGCAGAGCCTCATCTTAAGTCTTTATCTCTTCCCTTAGGGGTTCCATGTCCATATGCAGACAGACTGGGGTCAGAGCTGGAGCATTTCAACTGCTCTGCGAACAGGAAGTAGGATAAGCAGCATGGAGCCTCCAAAGCCACCCAAGGGAAGCCTGGGGACATGTTGGGGAAGGCGTGTCAAGTCATCCATCTACCTCTAAGGCTGTCTGTGGAGGGGTGCCCCCAGGATAGCCTCAGTACCGTTAGGGGACTTAGGGTATGGATTATTGTGGAGCAACATCTCAAGCTTGGGACATAATAGGACCAGCTGGGCATCATGCCCAAGGCCTCTATATACTCTCTTCAGAGGCATGCCAAGCTTGGTCAGCCCTGCGTGTGGGTGTCCTGTGCCCTCATTACAGGACTGTCCCTCTTGGAAGCCCCAGAGCAGCAGGCTACATGGCTTCCCATCTTCTTATGGCTACCTCATCTGTTTCCTGTGTCTGCCACGGATCGTTGTTGGGTCTGGAGCCCTTTAGTTCATAGCTGTGCCACCTGGAAGTCTGCAGAGGCTTCCTTTAAAAATACACATGTGTCTGCAGGAAACTGACAGACTACAATTATCGGAGAAGAATGTAGCCCCAGAGCCTGTCGAGGACAGAACATAGGCTCAGTGCAGTGCTGTCCCTGGGTTGAGGTTGGCTGTGTGGGTGCTGTGGCTGGGTGAAGCTCAGCCCCACAGGAGCACAATGCCCTGCCTTTCTCCTGCTAGCTCTGCTGTCTCACAGTGGCCCATATCTCAGGATAACTAGCTTTTCCATGCCTGGGGCCCAGGCGAGTAAGTGATCTGGCTTTTTCCCCCACCTCTGATGTCTCAGGGCCAGACAGGTTTCAGGACATAACAGCCTTGGGGAGCCTCTGAACTCTGAGTCAGGGGCTGCAAGACTGGCCATGTCCCACAGGTAGGAAAGAGTTCAACTCTGTGCATTCCCAGCATGCACTCAGCATTTGTGTATGCTTCACCAGGAATCTGTCATGGTTAAGTTAGCAAGCCCTCATTTAGTCCATTGTCCAGTGCCTGAAGCTTGGTGGACACACAGATCAGGCCTGACTAGGTCTGTGGAGAACAGGCCTGAGGGAGTCGGCTTTGGGCCTGGCAGTGCCTCCCTGAACTGTGAAGGTCATGCCGAGCACATTGAGCAGCAGCAGCTCTGATCTCTGCCACTCTGATCTATCCCACTACTTACCCCACCCCCATCTGGTCTGTGACAACCTCAAGGTTTCCAGGTTCAGGTGGAGGCAGTTACATCTAAATCCCAGCCCTGCTCCACTTCTAGCACTGCTCCTGTCTGTTTTCTCCTTCTAAACCACTCTTCCAGGCAAGAGGGAGCCAGTTGTTTATATGTAGATCAGACAGGCAGCTGTGGTCACTCCCCTGCAAGCCCTCAAGCCACCAAGGTGGAGCTGCAGTCAAAGGGTGACAGGGTAAGGTGAGGTCACCCTTGAGTCAGTCAGTCCAGCTAGGAACAACTTGTGGGAATCCAGACTAGCAGATCTACGGTGCCTATGGAGAGAAAGTTGTTTTTGCAGATATCCAGGGAAGCTGTGGCCTCAAGTCCTGGGCCAGTGTCCAGCAGAGACCACAGTCACCATATCCTAGGGATCTGCTGCAGGCCAGGCTGAATGCCGTAACCCTGGCACATACTGAACTCTAGTGCTCACCTCCATCCTCCCCGTGGTTAAAGATGCCTATAGATTCCAGATGGGTATACTGGTCCAAACTGTGACTCCCTGGCAGATAGCCATCTGCTGAGGGAATTGAACTGGGCACCCTGCCTTCTGTACTAAATTCTTCACAGTCTGGGGTGTCGTTTCTCTATGTACCTGGACATCACTTTCCTCCTGAGGTCTCCTGTGGTACTAAGATGTCTAAAGGATAGCCCAGCTTCATGTGTTCCTGGGAGTAGAGCCACTGAGGTTCTCAAGCCAGTGTCTTGTCACACAGTATTTCAGGACATGAGATGGCTGGGACATACCATTCTGGCAGACACTTGCCTCAACACCTCATCTTGTGATGGCTGTACTCACACAGTGACCAAAGCATGGTGTGGTCCACAGGGCAAACACTGAAGTGTTACATAAGCCTCAGGGCTGAACTTAACTCATTCGAACTTGGAAAACCTCATGCTGTCCCAAGTCTGTGTTTTGTTCTCAGCTAGAGTGACTGAGCTGTATTATAAGGTAGTATGGACTCTAAAGCTGTCTGTGTTGACCCAAGGTGGTTTCTGGTCACTTCTCCAGGTCTCTGGTACTCATTCCCATCCCTCAAAAGGTCACAGCATGGTGGAGAATCAGCTTTGAATTTCACATGGCCCGACATATCCTTAGGTACACTGCACAGTTGGTCTGTGCCTTGGTTTCTCTCTCAGCTTATAGGAGAATGCTCCCCAGAGCAGGGACTTGTGGGTTAGGCCATATGCATGTCAAGGCTCTCCTTGTTCCAACGCATTCCACTGCAGAGCACAGGGGCAGTACCCTGGGCTGTGGGAGGCTCCATCAAAGCCCTTTGAAGGTGCCCTGTCCTGAGCTGCCCTGAACTGCTCACCACAAGCAGCTTCTGACTACCTGTGACCAGGCCCTAGACAGATGCGGATGTGGGTGATACCCTTCTCAGAAGACCAGGTCTAATCTGGGCTGGGTGGGGAGCCAGGACAACCTTAGCTCAGGCCGCAGAACAGAATCGTGCCCATACATCCAGAAGACCGTGAAACACTGGTCCAAGCCTTCCTTCTTAGTCACACCCTGCACAGGGCTGAAAGATGTTCTGTGAAGACCTCCTTTACAGGGCCCGTTGGTGACCTTGATCCCAGGGTATGAGTCAGGCTGGCCAGGCCCTGTGCAGTCTGCCTTCCAATGATCATACTGTGCCTATAGTTCCATTGGTCTTGGGTCAAATGTGAGCTGCGTGCTAGTGCTATGTTGTCCCCAGGGGCCCAGAGTCACAGGACCCATCAACTAACAGCCCATAGGTAGGTCACCTGGGTCTGTGGAGAGCTTAGCCACTTGCTGGCCTGATACCTGGCTTCCAGTCTGGCATCTTTTTGGTTTTTCTGAGACAGGGTTTCTCTGTGTAGCCTTGGCTGTCCTGGACTCACTTTGTAGACCAGACTGGCCTCAAACTCACAGTGATCCGCCTGCCTGTGCCTCCAAGAGTGCTGGGATTACAGGCGTGCACCACCGAGCCTGGCTCCAGTCTGGCATCTTTAAGGAGCAGACTTTTACAGGCTTGATAAGATGAGCTGTTCCACAGATAAGGTAACCAAGCCTCAGGAAGGGCATCCTTTCTGAGGGCAGCCCAGTGACCACCCCAAGACTGTTATAATAGCCACTAGCTCTGAAAAATCCTCAGAACACTACCTGGAGTCTAAGTGTGTGAATCGTAAGTCTTGTGACACACCACTGGAAAAGGCAGGGGGTAGACACAGCAGAGAGGGGACGTATGTAAATGAGCAGAGTGTAAGGTGGCCTCTGTCAGTTTACCCCGTTTTTGTCCTTCGGTACATTTGCTCACACTCGCAGGGTGACACAGGTCTGACCAGCATTCTTCCCACTTAATTCCTGGCAGCCCTGTACCAGGGTCTCCTGAGTTTCATAGTAAGGGGCCAAGGTGTCAGCGCAAGTCTCTATGTAGCCTTGAAGCTTCTGTGTGCTATGTGAGGGATGTCCTGGAGGGTCATGGGACGGCCTGCTCCTGACCCTCCTGCCTGTCCTCAGTCTGCAAAGATCTCATGGGCTTGTAGCCAGGGTAGGGGTGGTCAGGTGACTAGGTGAGTGCCGTCAGTCTGCTGAAGCAAAAAGCCTGCACGCCCAGCTTCTGTTTGTTTACAGTATTTTGTTCCAGAAACATTCAGTGTGAGCTCTGTCCAGACCCTCTAACCAGTGTTGTTTTCTTTAATGCACTGCAGGCGATATGTCCAACCTGTACCCTAAGTTATCCTTTGAAGGCACCAATCTGGACGTGGGGAACATTGTGTTGGCGTTGTACAGTGGCCTCTTTGCCTACGGAGGATGGTAGGTTCTGGAACAACTGAGTGACTTGAGTGGGTGGGACAGAGCACAGGGAACATCTTGAAAAGCAGCACAGGCACCAACAGTTCGTTACCATCAGGTGACAGGCAGGGGCCCTGAGGCCTGTCTGCAGTTCTCCATAGGATGCCCAGCCTAGCTTCTGCCTTCAGGACAGCTGTGGAGAGTTTCTCTGTGAAGCCACACAGAGAAACAGGATGAGCTGTCTCTTCACCTCAGAGAGGGTTGGCAGAGGACAACACAGAGCGCCTGTCCCAAGGGTGCCCACGGCCCAGCTGCTGTCAACAGTAGAAACCCTGGGAGGCTCGCAGAGGGTACTCCTGTCCCCTACTGTCTTAGTCAGCGTTCTGCTGCTATAAAGAGATACTGTGAGCAAGGCAACTCCAGTGAAAGAAATCATTTAATTGGGAGTTTGCAGTTTGAAAGGGATAATCCATTATCATGGCTGGGAGCATGGCAGCGGGCATGGTGCTGGAGCAGTAGCTGAGAAGTTGACCCCCCTGATCGGCAGGCAGGCAGACAGACAGACACACTGGGCCGGATGTGGGCTTTTGAAACTTCAAAGCCTGACCTAGTGGCACAAAAGCCACAGCCAATCCAATGAAGCCATGCTTCCTAATCGTTCTCTGATAGTACATCACCAGCTGGGGACTGAGCGTGCAAATGTATGAGCCTGAAGGGGCTGCTGTCATCCAAACACCGTACCTACTCAGAGCCGCCCAGGCTCCTCTTTGCATTGATATCCCACACAACCCCCCAGTGACTGTATATACAATATAATGACATACTGTTGCCTGGTTTCTAGGAACTACCTGAATTTTGTCACAGAGGAGATGATCAACCCCTACAGGTATGTACAGAAATGGCAGAGACATTTCCTTTTGTCATATTGTGAGAGGAGAAAGCACACACTCTAAGAGCCTGTTGATGAGCCCCGACCAGTTTTTTTAAAATAATTTATTTTTATTTTATGTGCATTGGCATTTTGCTTGCATGTATGCCTGTGTGAGGGTGTCAGATCTTGGAGTTGCAGACAGTTGTGAGCTGCTGTGTGGGTGCTGGGAATTGAACCTGGATCCTCTGGAAGAGCAGTCAGTGCTATTAACCACTGAGCCTACTCTCTAGCCCCCTGCCGAGTTTCTGTGAACGGCTGAGTTAGGGGCCTACAGTAATCATGATGTGGACATAGGGTTGGTTCTAGGCTAGAGAGGGACAGCTGTGGCTTTTTTGGCCCTAGACACCAGCTAGACTTGTCTGGGGTATGCAGCTCGTAGGTAGAAAGGCCATGGGTGTTCACACCAGGCAGTCTCCTCAGCCCTCAGAGCCACCGAAAAGATGTGCAGGTTTTCAGGTATTGCGAGGTGTGCTTCAGCTATGCACAGCTGCCCAAGTCCAGTGGGTTTATCCAGCCATGTGCTAATGCTGCCGGCACTCCCATTTTCCCCTAGCAGTGAGGTCCAGACATGGAACCACTTGGAAAGGGAAGGGAACCTGGCTTCTCGCTCTGGGGTCTGATCCTACATCCTGGGCTGCACACTGACGTGGTTCTCCCCCTTCTTCCCAGAAACCTGCCCCTGGCCATCATCATTTCCCTGCCCATTGTTACACTGGTATATGTGCTGACGAACCTGGCCTATTTTACTACCCTGACTACCAACCAAATGCTGACGTCTGAAGCCGTGGCTGTGGTAAGACACTGCCCACCAGCTTTTCCGAGGCCAGAGAACCTGAGATTGACCTGCTACCCCCAGACCTATGATCAAGCCAGCCAGGCCTGGCCCTTGTGCCCAAGCCTCACCCTACCTGGGGAGTCCAGTGGTCATCATTGGTGTCTACTAATGATGACCACAGAGGACTAAAGATGCTGCCATGCTGGCTGCGTGGTCGTACGGGACCTTAAATGTAGCTGCTTAGATAGCACCATGCCTATGGCAAGACAGCGTGTGGGCGGTCATAGGCATCTGGGCACAGGTGGTGCTATTAGGGATTATGCTGACTTGAGGCCTGCTGCTATGTCAGCAGCATCAAGCTAGCTCTGGCTTATTTATGGCATCAGAAGGCACAGCCAGGGTCCTCAGCAGCCCCTGTAGCTCCTGCGCTTCCTTTTGAGCTTACGTGGAAGAGAGGCAGCGCTGTCTAGCTTTTGTCTATTTAAGTGTTGACTCCGAGCCCATGGTTCATAAATACCTGCCGCACCAGGCTCCTGGCAGATGTGAAGCAGCCATCAGGGAGACCTGCTAAGTATTACCCCCATGTTCCATGGGAAGGGATCTATGCACCTTACCTGTGTGCACCACTGGGAGACCCTGTGTGTCCCCTAACTCTGAAAGATGGCCACATGTGCAGAAGCCTGAGGTGTGGGGCAGCTAGGGGCCAGGTCAAGGGCTGAGTTACAGGCTAAGCTGCTTCGGTGGCCAGAATTGAGGCCCTGCCTGTGCCCCACTGTAGCCAAGTGCTCACCCTGTGCTATGTGTGTCCAGGATTTTGGGAACCACCACCTGGGAGTCATGTCCTGGATCATTCCAGTCTTCGTGGGCTTGTCCTGCTTTGGCTCTGTCAATGGATCTCTCTTCACATCCTCAAGGTAAATGCCTGATAGCTCCCCCGAAGGAACCCCTCTCCTGCTCCACAGCTTTGAAAGTTGTTTATTGATGATACACAGCTGGTTGTTAAATATCTGGATGACCTGGGAATGGGAACTGTTCTGACCCACTGTTGTTTAGATCATATTAAGGGGTCCCTGAAGTGAGGTGCAACCCAAGGTTTCTGTCCTTGTTAGCCTAGGAGCCTGTGGCCGGGGCAAGGGCCATGCCCCTACCAATGTAGCTGACAAAACCCCTCCCCCACACCAGCTCCACATGTCTTCCATCTATGTCTGGGTGGCAGGGCCGGGGCTGATTGCCCACTGCTTCATCCACAGGCTGTTCTTCGTGGGGGCCAGGGAGGGCCACCTGCCTTCTGTCCTCTCCATGATCCACCCACAACTCCTGACACCTGTGCCATCTCTGGTGTTCACAGTAAGTCTGCCACATGGTCCTGTCCTGTCTGTCCTCACCATTCAGGGCCCCATGGCTATGCTCAGAGCAGTATATTGTTGGGAACTGTCTATCATGTACATGGCTTCCAGGCTGCACTAGACTGCAACACACCACTGGATTTTTTTTTAACTTCTTTATTTTTATATTTTATACGCATTGGTGTTTGTCAGGTCCCCTGAAACTGGAGTTACAGACAGTTGTGAGCTGCCATGTGGGTGCTGGGAATTGAACCCAAGTCCTTTGGGAGGCGAGAATTCTACCATTGAACCACCAATGCATCCTTACCCAAGTCCTTTGGAAGAGCAGCCAGTGCTCTTAACCCCTGAGCCATCTCTCTAGTCCCACCACTGGGTTTTTAAATTCAGAACCCCATTGTGGTTTTAAAGAGATAACTCAGTCAGTCATCAAGTATATGAAATAAAATCCCTGCCCAGCAGAACATCTGCTCACAGACACCATGTCTGCTCCAGCCATGTCACTTTGCTCTGCTATGCCTAGGCTTGTTAATGGCCTCAGCCCTCAAACTGGACTCCAGTGTTCTAACTTCTGTACCCATCTGTTGAGTTGTTAGTTCTCTGTTGCTGTGTAACAGTCAGCCCAACCCCAGAAAGCCTAAAATAAGAAACATTTACCGCCTCACACTTCCTGAGTCAGGAACTCAGGCTTCTTGAGGAAGCGCTGTCAGTGTCACTTTGAGCTTGCTTTTAGTGGCGATATGGTATGCAGCATGCACCATGCTTTGTTGGAAAGCTGCCAGGTTGGATATTTTGGTCACTGCTGGCACCGGAGGCCACAGTAGGTGCAGATGCTTTTGCTCTTCCACTCTGAAGAGCTCTTGTACATCATCCTTGGGCTGTGGGTCCCTTCCTTTGCATCCTGTGACCTCACGTGTGGTTTCAGTTGTAACAGCAAGTTGATGTGCTTAGCCAGACACTGGCAGAGTTGGCAGTCTTCTGTCCAGTGGCGTCTGGCACCCTCTTGCATCAGCACAGCCCTTGCCGGGCTCACCTGCCCTCTCTTTGCTTCCAGTGTGTCATGACCCTGATGTACGCCTTCTCCAATGACATCTTCTCCATCATCAACTTCTTCAGCTTCTTCAACTGGCTGTGTGTGGCCCTGGCTATCATCGGCATGATGTGGCTCCGCTTCAAGGAGCCTGAGCTGAAGCGTCCCATCAAAGTGAGTATTGGGCAGAGTCCCTGCTCAGTCCTAGCTGTAATTCTCGGAGGCCAGGGCTGCGTCCAAGGAGCAGTAAACCAGTACTGCCTCTGTTCTTCCCTGTCCAGCCTCCGTCTCTCTTTGGCAAACAAGAGACCCTGTCCCCTTATCCCTGAGTACCACATGAAGGGAACACGGAAGGCTAAGCTGCTGGGGTCACAGCAGGTATCAGAGTTGTCCGAGACAGCTGACTTATGGTGGTTGGCGTCCAGCAGTCTCTGTTACCCAGCTTGTTCTCCTTGGGCACAGGGGTGACCTAGTCACACCTGCCGTGGAGCTTCTTCCTGCATGACTGGGTAGCACAAGCCAGCATGACTGGGGTCTCCCACTAACTGGCCTCCAGGTTCCTTGTGTTACTGGTGGAGACCACCTGGAGGCCAGTTAGTGGGAGACCCCAGCCATGCTGGCTTGTGCTACCCAGTCATGCAGGCTGTGGGGACAGAGATCAAACTGCCCATGGCTGGTTTGTGGGAAGCTCACAGATAACCTGTGGGCTTAGTCTCCAGGCCACATGGTTAGAGTCTACTCCACTGAGGCTGTTTCCCACGGTGGGAGCCCGAGCCAGTGGGAATCTGGACAGCAGTCTGGCATGAGCCCACACAGAAAAACGGAGCTCTGCCTGCTGGGTTATTCAGAGCACAAGCTGCTCTGCCAGAAGCCTGTCTGCTTTGGCTAGTTGCAGGCTCTGGCTTCAGGGCGAGCATTTCTATCCACAGAGGGTTCTGAGAAGGCAGGATTCCTTGCTTGTTGATGGGTAGCCAGAGTGTTCCAGGAAGAGTCAGCGTGCTGCTCTCCCCTAGGTGGCCATGGGTGGGTATTGCAGCCAGGAGTTTCTGTGTCTGATGTGGGGACTACAGAGCCTATTTCTGCTGCCTAGTGGAAGCCTTAAGAGAAACCAGCCTGGCTGTTTTCATTCCTGTCTATACCAGATGAATTCTGGGTAAATAGATGCTCAGCATCAGGTACTGAGTGAGACTGAGCAGGACAAGGCTTCTGCTCTCCCCAAGGTGGGCAAGAGGAATAGCTGGAGACACTTAAGCCACTGCAGAGCAAAGGCCCAAGGTCTAGGGAGGCGTGGCAGGGCAGACCCAAAGGAGAAGGTGATAGCTTTGAGGCCACATGCTAGCAGCAGGGCAGTAGGTCGGAGCCCACGGGCCATAGACAATGTGGGGAAGGTGAACCCTGGTAGCTCACACTCCTCCATTCTGTTCCAGGTGAACCTGGCTCTCCCAGTGTTTTTCATTCTGGCCTGCCTCTTCCTCATTGCTGTGTCCTTCTGGAAAACACCCACAGAGTGTTGCGTTGGCTTTGCCATCATCCTCAGTGGGCTCCCGGTCTACTTCTTCGGTGTCTGGTGGAAAAACAAGCCCAAGTGGCTCCTGCAGACCATCTGTGAGTGTGCACAGCTGCTACCCATACCAGTCAGGGTGGAAATGGCCAGGGTGAGGGATCGTTGATCCTGCCATGCACACCCTACAGGCCAAGGGAATCATGCTGGATCTCGGGCTTTCTGGTACTAGCCAGAGTCACTAATTATTGGGTCACTAATATAGTGGGCTGCCGTTGAGAATAACAGAGAGGGCTGGAGAAATGGCTCAGCCGTTAAAGGCTAGGCTCACAACCATAAATGTAAGAGAATAACAGGGATACAGGGGTGAGACACAGCACTCCAACCTAGATGGTCTTAGCAGGCATATTCCATGGCCAGCTGCCCTTGCCAACTGGCAAAACTCCACTGCTGGCCACTAGCTCAGGCACAGTGGCCTGACAAGAGATAGCGCCTGAAAAAGTTGTATCTGAGGTACCCGGCCAGGACTGGTTCTAGTTAGCTTAGGACCCTGTTTTCACACTCGTAAGCCCCCAGAAGAGAGCAGTACTTGCAGACCTAGGCTAGCACCGTGGTCTGGAATGCTGAGACGGCACAGTGGGTGAAACTGTGGGAGCCTGATGACATGGGTTCAGATTCCTGGACCCATGCAAAAGCCAGGCATAGACAAGCAACTTACCTATCAAGCCATGTCTCGAAATTTTGAAAGTGATAAATGGGCTGGTGAGAGCAAGTGGGACAGTAGGACCTGGCTGTCGGCCCATGCCCCATCTTCGCCCTATGCTCACCCCTGTCTTCTCCCTGCAGTCTCCGTGACGGTGCTCTGCCAGAAGCTCATGCAGGTGGTTCCTCAGGAGACTTAGCCACCATTCCTGGGTGCCATAGGGAGAGTGCACACTGTGACTGCTTCCAGACAACTCACCTTCGGAAAAGCAGCATCCGGGCCTGTCATTCCCCACAGCTCCAGTGAGCACCACCAACTACCATCATCCGCTGTCCCTCCAATGGTCAGGTGTCCACAGTAGCTGTGAAAGAAAACTGGTACGAATTTGGTCCCAGGAGGCTACCATCCACACACAGCACCCGATGTGAGGCATGCTGTGAGCTGAGGCCTGGTCTTTTCCAACTCTCTGAGGACTGCCACGTCTGGCTTTTCTCCCCTCTGATTTTTTGTTTTGTTTTGTTTTTGTAGTGTGCATTTGGTCAAGTTTACACTACCGAGATGATTATTTTTTTTTTTTTTTAACAAAACAGGGTAGCAAGAAGCACGAGATGTGTGTTCAGAACGGTCCAGCTCTGACTGTGACAGCTGCTGGCCACAGCTCCTCTCCTAAGGCTGTTGTTCAGTAGCATGGTGTGTGCCTCAAGCGGACCACATCACTGTCATCAGGTCAAGAGCTACTGAGATTCGAGTGTCACCTATTCCATTGTGGACTTGGACTGACAGATGGCACATGATAGTGTGGGTTGTTTTGTTTTTCTGGGATCCTAGAGATGGAACTCCAGCCTCATTCATATGAGAGGCAAGCACTCTACTGCTGAGTTATTTTCTTAACGTTATAAAGGTGTATGTAGCTCAGGTCTCCTCGTCCTGAAGTCCCGGTGATTTCCCTTAGCTCCACGTGAAAGAGACCTCTGCAGCCATAACCCTGAAGCAGCTGGCCGCCATAGCTCAAAGCTCATGGAAGAGGTGGCTGCCTCCTGCAGGGCCGTGTGCTCTTGTGCACACAGGCAGACACACACACACACACACACACACACACACACACACACACCATTAGAAACAGACTGAGAAGGCTGACAGTGACCAGCACCACGGGTCTCCCACCCACACAACTCTGTCCACCTTCATAGTTACTGAGTCTGCCAGCAGCTCTCTGCCAAGTACCCCCCCATCCTCTCCCTATCCCCTGTGGCCATTGTACAGAAGACTATGCACCAAGCACCCCTCTGCTCTCTGCCACCTGTGTGGCAGGACCACTCCAGCTTCCTGAGTGTGAAAGCTGCTGGCTACATGCTGCTATCCCTCCTGTGTGGGACCACCCCCACAGGCTTCCCCGGTCTTCTGGGAGAGACAGTTGAGGTCCAGCCAGCACATCAAATGAAGCAGCTGATTATTAGCTTAGAGGGATGTCAGGAAGTAAGAATCCCCTGCTGGCCCCTGTAATTGCCTTAGATCATGGCCTCCCTGAAGTGGGCTGGACTGCTATGCAGCTCTTCTGTGGTGGTAACCTTGACTACTGGCCCCTCTGACCTCCCCTCGATGCTTCTGGGGTCCCCTTTTGTTGGGGTGAGGAGGGAGAGGTCAAGATTAGAGTGCCCCTTGAAGGCTCTCCAAGAGATCTAAATGCGGACTCCAGGACTCCAATAAAAATCCGGTCAGGGATCCATTTCCATCCTGGAGCACATCCCAGACCCAGCCTGGGTTCAAAGGGCAGGGACTCTTGGCCATGTCCATGGTGCTGACCCAGGCCCTCTGAGAAGGCCCTGCTCTTGGCTACATCTGATGTCCTGAGGGCTCCTATCTGTAGGTTTCTATTGGTTTTTTTGGGTTTTTTTTTGTTTTAAAGCAAGCCCTGACCACACAGCACTTTTCGTTTTGGTTTCATCCTAACATGTCACTGACCTAGAGAACACTGATGCCTGGCTTAAGTCAGTGGTCAGTGGGTGAGTTCTGTACAGGGTTGTGCTCCTACCACATTGGGTCCATCTACTGTGCCACCTGAGGTAGTGTTGTGGCTCTGGCATCTTTTAACATTGTATTAATGGCTAACCTGTTACATTAGGCTGGGGGATTGCAGAGTTCTGCTGTTTTGTGAGGCTTTTTGTTTTGTTTTGTTTTTAAAGCTATTGGAATTCTAAGCTGTTAACAGTCTTCTGTGTTCAATGCCAAATTCCCTGTGTGGGAACGTCTATTTTCTCCCAGCCCACCCCTTTCTCAACAGCCATACATTCCTCTGCCCACCAGCCTCCTGTGGGTGACAAAGCTGGAGGGTAGCCAGGGGGCCAGGGACACACTTAGGTCACAGGAGAGGGAGATTTCCTGGAGGCCCCTAGATGGGAGAGGCTTGGCCTAGCGGGGACCCTTGGCTAATTGTGCTATGAGCAGCACCTCTGGAATGGGGACAGGAAGAAAGGGGCCCAGAAGAAAGTAAGTGATGCCAGGTCATCTCACAACACCCCCATATCTCGTGGGCAGGTCAGAGTTCAAGACTTGGAACCTAGGAGCCACTTCTTTCTACATTCTAGCCTCTGTGGGAGAGGGACCCTTGAGGCCAGACTCCCAACTGTCCTAGAACTTCTGCTGGGTCTTACCTTCCAAGTCATACCTGCTGACCAAGGGCTGGGTGTAGATCCTCAAGGCCAGCCATCAGCCTCCAGATGTTGCCATCTGGACAGTGTGGGGTTCCAGGGGCAGGCATGTGAAAGCCTGGAAGCATTGGATGCCTTCTGCTAGCTCTGCAGGACCCAAGGCACCTTCCAGGGTCTCAGCAAGGTACTGCACTGAGCCAGCACAGCAGAGGTGCCGAGAACTTGAGCCCTCTGAGATGGTCCTGGCCTTTGGCCTGCCCGTCCCTTACAATGCAGCCCCCTTCCCTATTTAAGAGACCTATGGGCAGCGATGTCCACAGGCAACGGGGTGGCTCATACCATCCTTTTCTGTTGGTAAAGTTAAAAACAACTGTCTAAGGGAACTGGGCTTTGATCCTCCCCAAGCTGGGGAGGCTGCATGTCTTTGAGGGTTACAGACACAACCATGCCCTGCCTATATCTGCCCCGCCTGCTCCAGCCCACACATAGTCCAGCCATGTTGCCTGTGACCTATACAGGGCTCTAAGCAGCTAAGACCTAGGCAGTGGCAGAGCATATGTGATCTCCCTATTGTGTGAGCTCATGTGGCCCCTACGTGGCCCCTTGAGCCAAGACAGGTGCCCTGCAAATGCCCACCGTGCTGCCATTCCGCTGCCCTCCAGCATCTGATGACACCTACACTGAGCTGGCAGCTTTGTGTGCCTAAAGAAGAGGTCGTCTTCCTAGAATTAGCTGCAAATAAACTCCACACTTGTTGATCTCGTCATACTTAACCCTTGTGTCTTCCTCCAACCCTGGTCATGTTATACCCCAACTGCAAGCTGCCACTCAGCCCACAGTGCGCTAGGCACTAGCTTTATCTTAACTCTTAGCCAGTTAACTCTTAATGAGCCAGTCGTGGTGTTTCGAATAGGTATGGCCCCCATAGACTCATGTGTTGAATGCTTGGTCCATGGGGAGTGGCACTTTTAGGAGGTGTGGCCTTGTTGGAGGAAGTGTGTCTGTGTATACCCTCAGGATGGCACACAATCCATGTTGTCTGTGGATGAAGACGCAGAACTCTCAGCTCCTCCAGCACCATGTCTGCCTAGATGCTGCCATGCTTCCTGCCATGATGATAATGGACTAAACCTCTGAAAGTGGAAGCCAGCCTCAATTAAATGTCCTCTATAAGAGTTGCCTTGGTCATGGTGTCCCTTCACAGCAGTAGAGCCCTAAGACAACCATTGTCCCATTGGTTATTGATGGGGTAGGGGACAGGAATCCGACACTGAGTAGATTCCACACTCCACTGGTTCCGCCTTAGATCTGAGTGCCAGAAAAAGCAGTTGGGCAAATCCCTGGTGCTGGTGCCCTTGCAGTCCAAGGAAAACAACAGGGTCAAGGGTCAGAAGGTACTCTAGCAGATGTTTTCTCCAGCTCAGAGCACTTGTTCTAAAAAGACGCATTTCCCCTGTGTGTCACTCCACACACATTTAAAGTCAAACGCTGTGCTAAGACCATCGAATCCAGCTGGACAGAAAACCAGGGCCACAGAGGCACAGGTGATGAGGCATCCAGCAACAGCAGAGATGCTGTTTGTATCCTGAGAGTAGGAAACAGGCTCTAGGCATCTCCCAGCCCAGCCATTCATCTTTAGGACAGCATTGATGCCTGCTGAATTGTGCCAAGAACCTACGTTTTGCCTGTCCTGCCTCCTCAGCACAGTGTGGACCTAGGAGAGAGGGTGGAAAACGGTGGGCTCTGCTCAGGCCCTGCTTCACGTACCCAGCTGCTCTGCCTGAAGAGACAACTGCAGGATGAGGCCAAACCCCTAAGCTTGCCAGGCTGGTGGCGTAGCGATGTCCATTGTGTATATGTGTGTGTGTGTGTGTTTTCAAGTAGGGACTTGGGACAGGTGGTGTACTAGAAACAAGTTAGTTTGGGGGCTCAGATCTTGGCCAATAGGGACCCCCACACAGCCTCTAGGACCCTAGAAGAGAAGCCACATTGCACCAGGGCCTCTGGTGATCCCTAGCTTTGGGCAGGATATTTTCAACACTGAACACATATCTCTGGCCCCTAGAAGATCTGTCCAGAAACACCTGTGGCAGTGGTGAAGGTCGGGGGCAACACTAAAGCCTCTAGTCCTAGGGCGTCAGGATAAAGAAAAGGCAGAACACATGCCCCAGACGCTATGCCCCACGGCCCCAAGCGCTAGAGGATGGAATGTTGGCTGCTCTTTCCACAGCTTAGTCAAAAGTGTGAGCCAAGGTTTCTGCAGCTAAGTGGTAGGGAAGAACCCCTCCCCCCAACTCTTCCACCAGAATCCCTGCTGGACACCACCTCCCTACCCCTGCCCTGAGGCCTGACCCCATGGATCCCACCCGAAAAATCACCAGCCCTTCAGCAGCCAGATGAGAAGGGTGGGTGCAGGCGCCACCTGCCTCGGGGCAAAGAGCTCCCAGAAGGGTGGCTCACCCCCTTGTGCTCAATGCTGGACAAGGCAAGAAGCCCTCAGTGAGGGGACCCCAAACATCCATACCTAGAGTCCTGCAGGATGCACCCCCACAACCCAGCTCTCAGCTCTTGGCCTTCACCCCTCACATTGTACCTCTAGCCCAAATCATCTCTCTGGTCATGCCTCCAGGAAAGGGGGCAGACCCCTCCCTCAGGCATTCTTAAGCTTTAAGTCTTCATCTTCTGCCAGAACTTCTAGATTCCAGTCCCTTGTGTATGCAGAGCCATGCCAGACACTGCCCTGTTCACTCCTGGGGTCCAGTTCTAACATGACCAGTTTTCTCCTGTAGCCAAACACAGTAAATTCTCTGTGGAGGAACTCAATTGCATCATTAAAGCCTGTCTCATAAAGCACACATCTTGGCGCCAGCGAACATCTCTTCAGATCTAGTCTCTGCCTGTTGCTTTAGAGATCAGATCTTGACTGGGTCAAAGAGAGCAATGGAGGGTTCCAGAATCCCCTCCTTCCTTGCCGTCTTCATGGCCTCTGTTGGGCTTCTGGAGATACTGGCCCTAGATGGCTCTTGTACCTCCTGACAGCAAGAGTCTGAGCCAAGGCTAGGGTGTGCCAGGTCCCACCCCACTCCCTACACTTTTGACAAGAAACCTGGGATGACGGAGGCCACTCTGTCCTCTGCAGAGGTATCAGCTAATCCTACCAACTTCACAGAGGATCCCTTAATCCTAAAGACTGGGTGGAGCCTTCTCGGGCAAGTCTGGATAAGGACACAGCTTGGCTTGGAACTCATCTCCCTCATCCTATCTCAAAAAA